CACCACCTCCACCACCACCACCACCTCCACCACCACCTCCACCACCACCACCATCACCACCACCACCAACACCTGGAGCTGTTTTGTAATGCAAGGCAAGATTGCATCATGTTACTTCCCAAGGACATCTTGCCACCTTCCTTACCATCCTTTTGGCCATCCTTCAACAACATCCAGGGCCTAAACAACTATATTCCCTTGAGTTCTGCTTTGCCATCTCTTATTCTCTTGCTATATGTACTTTTACTATTCAACATCATCCATTCTTATACCTGTCATGAATATACAGCTGATTCTCATTATCCACAGTTGTGTTCCACGAACTTGCCAAGAACACTAAATTATTGAATACTGAATTATTGCTGTTGAGAGAGATGCAAGGTTATGTCCTTGGAGCCTCTGTTTACATTTGTCAGCTAATTGATGCATAACCTTGCTCTATGTCTGTTTTTGTGTAAACACACCTTATTTAATATATGCTATGGCTTCATTAATATTGAGCTCATAGCCCCAGCACTATATTCTTTCTTGGAGGAAGCTTGCCTAGCATGTTTTCTCTTTAAGGTACATCTGCTTAGGAACACTGGGCAGCACTTCAGCTCTGCACTAGCAGGCAGCTTTAAATAAATCCCAAAGGAAAAGCACAGACCATGAACGATGTGACATTAAGTACACTGCAAAAAGGGTTACTTATTTACCATGAAAGATCTGGGAAAGGAATAGCATCACCTTGTTTGACCCCCTTTGGAAATAAGTTTATCCAGAAGCTCAAATGTTTGCTTCCCTGGGCATGTCTGTGTTTTGGGGTGAGCAACAACTTCTAATACATATGTAATTCCACATATATACTCTTTGCAAATAATATGAATTGACTATATCTTGAATTTCCCAGTCTATTTTTCTAGTTCTTTCTATTACTCCAGACCTACATTGTAATTGCTTTTTCAAATTGTATTTCCATTTGTATGTCTGAAAAACATTTCTGCCTCAGCCCCAAATCTTCTGTTTTCTCCCCCAAACTGCTGCTTCTTCATTCTGTTCCTTATGATATCATCATCTAGCTTGTATTGTATATTAGTAATCCAGAGGAGGTCACTGAGGCTTTTCATGGATAAGGCCAAATTTTCCAGTGCTGATGTGAGCTGGAGCAGTCAGGACTAAAACAAGGACTCTTGAAGTAGACGTTGTGGCCAACAGCAGAAGTTTCAGTGTTTTTCCTAGCTGAAGCATAGCTCCAGGCAGTGTTCTAAGCAGTGGAATTGTCAGGAGAAAGCATGTATAGTTGACAGCTTCTCACCCAAGGTATGCAGGCACCATGAAAAAGACTGACAGGTGTCAGACAGAAGGTGAGGTTTTAAGAATATGTAGGACTTTCTTGGAGAAAGGTGATGTGTAGCTTGAATGGGGGACCCAAGGAGTAGAGAGATGGGCTGAAAATGACCAAGAGAGACCATAAATACAATGCTAAGGAGTATGGTTTTTATTTCTACAAAAATATTTAGAAGTATCAAAGGTTTTGGTAGGTAAAATCTAATCTCTCTGCATTTTAGCAATAATACTTGGTGTATTGACCAGTTCATCAGAGGGTAAGGTGGAAAGTCTTAGTAGTGTCAGAAGCATTCTGAGGTACCTTCTCGGTGGAGGCAGTGAGGCTATGAACCAAGTCGGCTTATGATGGGATGGAAGCGAGAAGTGGATTCAGGGCTTCGTGCAGTTGGACCAGGTTTATTCATGAAATATTCTTTGTTAAGATAGTGTATGTCTTTGGAACTTTGACTATCTAAATCTTAAGTTTTGATGTCTTGTTTTTAAAACAGTTAAACCAGACTGCATGGTTATCTAACACTGATTCATGGAACTTTGAGACAGGGTCTCATTAAGTTGCATAGCTTGGTCTTGAACTCCCAGGTTTGAATAATCCAAGCTGGTCCCAGGATTGAATTACAGGTGCCTATCACCATGCCTGGCTTCTACATTACAACTTTTGATTGGCAATTTCAACACATGAGTCATATGACAGTGTTTACGTTAGCTACTGTGAAATTTGTAAACCTTTGGTGTCATGTTTTCTGGCATCTTTGCTGTATATTGAACATTTTAAAAGGATATTATTGAGTCTTTGGATTCTGTCCTCTTTCTTGGAAAAAGACTGCCATTTTCTTTTCTTTTCTTTTTTTCTTTTAAGATTTATTTATTTATTATGTATACAGAAGAGGGCACCAGATCTCATTACAGATGGTTGTGAGCCACCATGTGGGTGCTGGGAATTGAACTCAGGACCTCTGGAAGAGCAGTTGGTACGCTTAACCTCTGAGCCATCTCTCCAGCCCAAGACTGCCATTTTCTATCAGTTAGTTCTAAGACATATCTACTTGTATTAAATTGGTCCTGTAGCTCGTTGTGGGTTTTTGTGGAAAATCAAGAATGATAAGCAGGTACCTCTAATTTTCATGGGTTGAATTCCAGCTCTGCCTCCAGAGGGGAAAAGATGCAGATCTCTCTCTCTACCTTTTGTTGGTTTCTGTCTGGTTCTTTGAATGCTAGGAACAGTTGAGGGGTTGTGAATAGTCATTCTTTCCTATAGGATTTGGAACCCCCCCCCCTTTTTTTAACTAGGCTTTTTCTTAATTTCCAGTCACTCTCAGCCTCAGACTCTACCTAGGAATCCTGAGTCCAACAAGAATGCTGCTTTGTCCTCAGGCTTTCTTTGTTATGTGCAGTGGAGTGAGGGAAGCTGTGGGAAGCCAGTGAGTTTACATCCTCCCAGTGTGTTCTCTTCTTTTGGGGCTTATGTTTCTCCAGATACCTGTCTGCATATGACTGTTCTTTGGTCCTGAGTTTATAACTGTTGTTATGAGATTGGTGTTATGTAATGTGTTCTGATGTCACTGGATCTTCAACTTCAAATTTGCTAATACTGTTTGATTTTGCATTTAGGTTAATGTATAGTAGTAGCCCATTCTTACATTCTTTTATGAATTCTTGTTTAATTTTAGCATCAGGTTTATTCTGGCTTTGTTAGATATGTGGAGAGGACCCTTGTCTTTTTTTTTTTTTTTTAAATCCCTAGGAAAGCTTAAGTTATATTTTCTTTTTCATTGTAGTTTTTTGTTTGTTATTTTTTAAAAAGTTGATCATTTTAATCTTATGTGTATATGTGATTTGCCTTATATGTGCATATGTACTCTGTGTGTCTGTGGAGGGAGGATGCATGTGAGATCCTTGGAAGTGGAGGTACAGGCAGCTGTTTGCCACCTTGGGAGCTGATGATAGATCCTGGGTCCTAGGAAATCCAGGAAACTTAACCACTAAGTATCTCTCCAGTCACCTGATTATGTTTTCATTATTTTTCCTTTAAATGTAGGGGTAGAATTTGTTGGAAAAGTTTTTGGGCCTAGATTTTTTTCCCTGTGGGGGAGGGAAATTGAGATTATAGTTTATTTAATAGTTATAAATTTATTTGAATTATCTGCTTTTAGGTAAAGTTTTTTTTTCTCCTTTTAAATTTATATTTTGTTGGTCTAACATTGTATGCTAGTGAGTTCCCTATTATTATAATAAATACCCAAAGGCAAAAAGATAAAATAAAAAGACTTGGGTGGGTGAGATAGCTCATTGGTAGGTAAAATGATTTGCTGCTAACCCTGATGAGCTGAGTTTTATCTCCTGGACCCACATGGTAGAAGGATAGAACCAACTCCTGCCAGTTGTTTTTTGGCATCCATTGGGGCTTGGTGACAAGCACCTCACTCCCACATAAATATATAAATACATGTGACTTCACAATTTTGTAGATTTGCCATCTATTCCCATTTGGCCCTGTTTCTTTGGGCTATGGCAGCACATTTGTAGCTGAAGAACATGATGGAACAAAATTATTTACGTTGTGGCCGAGGCAAATACAAGGAAAGGCAGGGTACTACCTTTCAGGTCCCTTCCCATTACCTGTTCCACACCTCTGGATAGCACTGGCTGGAGCACCAAGCCTTTTTAACACATGACTTTTTAGGCTATTGCAGGTCCAAGCTATAGTAAGTGGGCAGCCTGCCTTATGATCATGTATTATAGTCATAAACCACATCAATACTCCTTTCCATTGTTGATTCTGGTTAATTCTCCCCTCCTTTATTAGCCTTGCCAAGGCTAGGTTGGCCTCTGCCTTGCTACATATCCAAGGCTGGCCTGGAGTTCATATTATCCTTATCCTCCAGAGTTCTTGTGTTATAGGCATGCACTATCATG